TCAAATAACCAATAATATATATAAAAATCGACTCTCTTTAGTAATCAGAAACATACAAAATAAATTGACAGAGATTCATTTCATATCTATTGGATTAGCGATAATTTAAAAGTCTGACCATTTTAATTGTTGGTGATGTCAACACAAGAGACTTCCAAACCTGTTAATTTGAGCCAAACTGACCACCATTGTGTGAAGTTTCTTGTATGCATTTGGAATTAAGGAGAGACCTTAAGGAAGATTACTGAAGGTGAGAGAAAGCAAGGTACATAGTCAACAAGATTATGTGCTCCCTTGAGGGGGTTTATGCCTTGGAGGGGTCTAGAAAAGAAGACTCTGGCATTTCAAAGGTGTGCTAACCTCCATGCACAAGAACAATGGACAGAGCTTGCTTAAAAACCTGTTACTGAGAAAATTACAGCCTGGAGCTTGACTACTGACCATGACCTGCTCCTTAGGAATTTATGATCAGATCACCCTAAGAGGTTACTTTCAGTTAGATTTATTACAGGCCCCTTTTTGTCCACAGTGAGGTTGTAGAGAAACCAAGATTCTCATACCCTATAACACTGACACAAATGCCTGGAGAGCAACATGATGATATTCACTCAAGTTGAAAATGCAAATATCATTTGATCCAGAAAGTTTACTGCCTTAGAGCAGTGTTTTTCAATCCATTAAGGGTTATGAAATCTATTGAGTGGGTCATGTCCAGCATTTCATAATAGGAAATATACAAACTGGGTTTGGATATAAAATATATTTCTTACTATGAGTTATGGTTAAGAAAAAAAATCTGAAAACACTGCGTGTTTCTTAAAAGAAACTTTTATACATAAGAACAAGGAGATACCTTTGAGAGTGTTCCCTAAAATGTACTGTATGTAATAATGAAACATTGAAAGTAATATAAATGTCTATCAGTAGCAAATAAACAAATTAGAGTGTATTCATGTGATGGAACACCACACAGCAGCTATAACTAGTGAACTTGATCTACATCATCACTTGGATGAATGCTGAAAACAAATTTGAGGGAAACAAAACAGAAAAATGCCACGTGAAACCAAATATATGAATTTTTAAAACATTAAAAAATACCATATGCTATTTGTTTATGTACATACAGCTTTATATATATTCAAAGATATATATGCAAAGTATTAAAAATGGAGTGATATAAAGGTGCTACCTAAAGAAAAAAGGTAAATGGGATATGGGAGAAAATAGGTATGATATTATTTATCGATTTTGGGTAGTGGATACATAGATGAATGTTATAGTTTTGTTTGTTCTTTTCCTTTTAAAATATTTTAATACAGTAGAAAAAATAAATGCAATTAAGTTTTACCCTTGCTCAGAATTCTGAGTATCAAATTACAATCCATTAGTTATTAAAAGTCTTTCATCCTGGGATTTTATTTCAGTGCCTTGGGAAGAATAACCTGCCCCAAACCAGCCCGTCAAACTCAATGAATTAGTATCTAAAGATGGCAAATCGTTGCAATTATTATGTCTACTGGTAAGAGATTTATCTTTCCCTGAAGTTTCCAGTCTTTCTAATCTTTGTACATACTGTTCCCTCTTCCCAGAAAGCCGTTCCTCGTAGTACTTGTCTGCCAGTCTCCAATTTATCCAATGATCTAGTTCAAACCTGACTTCGCTTCATCTGGATGTACCACCACTGCCACCACCAGAATTTATCAATTTACTGTTCCTTCAACTCTCACTGTACCTTGGACATATTTCTGTTACAGCACCTATCACATGATTATTTTTGAATATCAATCTTCTCTACTAAACCTCTGAGCTTTTTGAGGGAAAGGCTTGCCTCTATTTGCCTTTATTTTCCTGGAACCTAGCAGAATGGCTACAGAGCAGGCCCTCAAATGTTTGCCAAATAAACAACAAATGTTGATGACAAGCTAAATGACATATGGGTTTGGGGAGCTTAAATCTGGTTCCTGTTTATTGCACCACAAATCTGGGACCACTTAAAGATGGTCTTCATTTTGGGGCAGTCTGGTGGTTCTTTGCTATCTCTGGTCCAGATCCTTAAAAAAAACCTTATTGATATATCATTAACCTCCAGTCTCTTCCCATCGCAATGCATTCTAACTCCAGTCTGATTTTTACAAACATCACCTTCATATTGTCATTCCCTTGGACAAAATGCAGACTCCCTAATATCTTTCAAATCAAATCAAGTTCTCTAATCTTCACACCTGAGGCCCCGAAACAAATCTAATCTTCACATAAGGCCCCTCCAAGGGTCCTGCCTCACTGTAGAATTCCAAACAATCTCTCAACAATTTTGTAATGTAAACTATACTGGGTAGGGCTGGAATTTTTATCTGTGTAACCTCTGATTTATCCCAAGCAAAGAGAACAATGCTGTGTCTGGGAGAGATGCTCAATAATTATGGAATTAGTGAATAAATGAACCATTTATTTAGTTACTTATCAGTGAATAAGAGAAGATAAAATATAAAGCAACTTCCTGAGGAATTATTTTGAGAGAAAAAATGTTACCTTAGATTCAGGTAAATAAGGTATTTATTCATTTAATAAATACTTAATTAGTACCTCTTACGCCAGGGAGTGTGCTAGGGACTAGAAATACAGTGAGCTTAGAATCAAATGGGGAACACAGTCATTAAATGTATAGTGCCACAGGTAACTAACTATGATCATTTTAGGTACTCTGAAGGGTAAGTATAGTTAGCTACAAGATGAGTAACAGGAAACTAAGTCTGTGGGATTAAGAAAGAGTTACCCGTAACAATGCTGTTTACATACAGTGCAGCGGTAATTCATGTGCCCAGACTGTCTGCCCAGACTGACTCGAATCTTGAGTAGGTTATTTAACCTCACTTTCCTCATTTATAAAGTTGAGCTAACAACAGTATCGACCTCTTGAAGTTAAGTGAGGTTAAATGACTTGATACACATAAAGCACTAAGAACAATCGTGGCACATAGTACCTGCTCAATAAATATTGGCTATTATTAGCATTTCAGCTGGAACCTGAAAAACAAGCTAAGAGGAAGGGAAGTGGGAGGGAAGAAACTCCAAGCAAAGAGCAATATGTGCAAAAGCCCAGGGGCATAAAGTTTCTTGGCCTACAGCAGAACTGAAAGGCCAATATTTCTTAGTATAGAAAGCTAAGGGGAAAGAGATGCCATGAGATATGAGATGAGGCTGGGAAAGCAGGCCAGGTTAAGGAGTCTGAACTTTATTCTAGGAGTCAGAGGAAACTTGAAAGATTTATAAAGGGGAATAACAAGCTAAGATTTGTAATTTTAGAAAGTTTTCTCTGGCTATAGCATGGAGAACTGGCTGGAGAAAGGCCAAAATAGATGACAGGGAAACCAGTAAGGTTGGTACTTCAGTAGTCTAGATCAGAGGCTTGTAGCTTAGACTAGGGTAGTGGCACAGAAGAGAGAACAAAATGACTGAAGTAATAGAAGAACCAACAAAACTTAGTGTAAGCTGGGGTAAGGGGCATTAAACAATAAACAAATATCTGAATTCCTGTGTTCCTGTCATCTTGTTTTACTGCACGAAATGCCTTTCCTCTATTCCATTCTTCCAGGCACAGTTCCTTCCAATCTCCTCCACAAAACTCCTATTTGCCTTTCACTTTTCCTGGAGTGTTCTAGAATTTTAGGGCTGAACAGTCTTGAGAGACATAGTTGTTGAGAGGACTTAGGAATTGCCTGAAGACAGTCAGGCAATTTTTAGTCAATTTTGTATCCCACCCACCCCATCTTCCTAGCACTTACAGAGAGTCACCCACTTACTGAACTTTTCCTTTGACTACATGAGTGGTACAATCATAAACAGCCTAAGCTAATATAAAACTGAGACCCATGAAGCGTTATACAGATGTGGGAGCTTTCACAACCATTTTCTTCTTGCATCTTCACAGAACTGTTATAAAATAGGTACTATTATAAAGGAAATAAGCTCGAGAGCTAAAGTGACATGTCTAAGGTCACATATACATTAAAGGAAATGGCAGTGCTAAGATTTGAACCTAGATCTCCTGGTTCCAAATGGGATGCTCTACTACCTCCACGGAGGGTAAATATTCATATGTACTCAAGAAAACTGTTAACTCTTGGAGGCAGCTAAGTGCCACTGCTGGGAATCCTTCCCAGTTTCAGTTATTAATTTATTCAAAATGTTTACTAGCACCTACTACGTGCCAAGTATGGCACCTAGTGTTGGGGGTTGGGTATAGCAGTGACTAAGACAAGATGCTTGCTCTAGATCAGGGAACCGGCCAAACAAGGAAACGAATGTATAAAACGACGGAAGTGGTAAGTGCTGTAAAGAAAACAAACAGGGTGATAGGAGAAAATGTGTGTTTTGGTCAGAGAAGGCCTTTCAGGAAAGTGACATTCGAGACCCGAGTTTGGGCTTGAGGAAGCGCTTAACGAAAGACATTTTCCCACAAACCTAATCTGAGAAACGCCGACCAAAGTTAAAAGCGGACTTAGTTCGCACAGGTACCGCTCCCAGGCCTCCAACCTTCGCCGCTGGACCGCGCGACTGGCAATGGATAGTTCCCGGCCTAGCCTGCCGCCACCACTAGAGGGCGCGACGGGCCCTCCCAGTCCCTTGGGAAGCGCCGTGGGCCTCGGCACTGTTAAAGAAACATCCCGCATCTACCGCTTCAAGGCCCCCGAAGACTGGCACACCGACAAAGGGCAAGGGCGGCGCTAGGGACTCGCGAGGGGTCACTGAGACCTCAAAAAGAGGACGTCCTCAAGATCACAAACCCTACCATTGGCACAAGCCTTCGATCCCCGGGGATAGCCCGCTTCCGGCGCTTTTAAACAAGGAAGTGCTGTCTGCTTCCAATCATAGTCTTGCTTTCACACTTAGTCTTCAGCCTTGGTTCCCGCGCCGCGTTAGCGCGGGGCAAGCGGTCTATGGTGACCAATAGGCTCTCAGGAGAGGCCGCATGCGTGGTCGAAAGGACGCGACGTACGGTGAACTTTGACCTGAAGAGAGCCTCTTCTCCCCCTCCCTCGCGGGGAAGATGGCGCTTTCCAGGGTGTGCTGGGCTCGGACTGCTCTATGGGTTTCGACGGTCACCCCTGGATCTTATGTCAACCGGAGGCTGCAGCTTGTTCGCTATGGACTGGCCTGGGGGGGCCCTCGGTGAGGTGCCTGGAGAGAGAATAGCATTTTTGACGTTCAGGCCCTTCCAGTGTCTCATCCTTGCTTGCATGCTGTCTCTTAGTTTTCAGGGTTCCACGCCCTGGCCTATGGGTTTTTATTCTTCTGCTCAGAAATCGCACCCCGGTCTCCGCCAGTGACCTGGCTTCCTGATCCTCTCAACTGAGTGTCCCTTGTAGTTTGAATTTCCCACGTGTCTTGAGTTTATCTGTCAGCCTGCCTTTTTGGGCTCAGCTTTTACCGATATTTACCTCGATCCCACCTGTCTGGCTTATCCTGCTGCTCTGGCCTCAGGCCTTGTGCACTCTCCAGACTCATACCACTCCTTGACTTCCTTTCTGCCTGGCCTCTCTCTTATCTGTCTGATTTGTTTTTCTCAGTCTCATTGCTTATCTCTTCTTGATTCCAAGGTTTTCCTTGGTTTTTGGAAGTTTCAAGTCTTAGTATACATTCTCTGAGGCCTGTGTTTTACATTAGGGACACCAGATGCGAAGAGGTTTCCAGGACTGATTTCCAGATAGTCTCTTTGATCTTCCTTGTAGGTCTTCAAAGCTTCACCTTTCTCCAAAGGCAGATGTGAAGAGCTTAATCTCTTATGTGGTGACCAAGACAAAAGTGATTAATGGGAAATACCACCGTTTTTTGGGTCGTCATTTCCCCCGCTTCTATATCCTGTACACAACTTTCATGAAAGGTAAAAACAAAACAAATAGAAATTGCTAGAGTCAGCTCTTGGGCAATGTCAGAGAGCTAGGATAAGTAAGATGATAATTTGCAGGTTTTGTTATGGGAGTGTGAGCTGGGATGTCTTATTTTTCTTAAATACTTGAGCATGAAACTAATTCTTACAAGTTAGCACTTCTCGAGGATGTTCCTAGAAAGGTATAATGAGAAACAACTTCTGACAATACCCAGGGGGAGTATAGCTGTTTTTGCATTTTTCTTAACCATACACCTGACTCTAGTAGAAATTCTTCATCATGTACAGACCTGCCTTGTGATTTATCAGTTGACTTGGCCCAAAAGAAAATATTGTTTCATGCTTATCACAAATCTATCCTAGGTAGCATGTTGTGGAAATAGTGCTACAGTACTTGGTTTCTGAATGTTTCGGTTCAAATCAAAACTCTGCTAGTTATTAGGAGAATGTATAGTGTCAAGTGTCTACTCTGGAGCCAGACTCAAATCCTGGCTTGTCACTGGCTGTGTGATTAGACTAGTAACTTAACCTCTCTATCCCTTGGTTTTCTTATCTGTAAATTGGGGATAATAATGAGACCTACCTATTGACCACATGGTTGTGAAGATTAAATAAAGCAACACATGTAAAATATTTAAAGCCTTGTTCATAGTAAATGCTCAATAAATGTAGCTATAACTATTTCTATACTCTATACTTTTATCATAACACCAATTACAATAAACTACCACATTGTCAGCTCTGAGTATTATAATTATTACTAGCTCCATGGCCTTGCAAAATTGCTCATGCTTACTTGTAAAGTGGAGATAAGAATGGCTGCCTGTCTGCTCTCATGTTTATAACTAGGATCAAATGAGAAAAGGGTCTGAAAGCATTTTGGATAGTTTGTTTTTAAGCATTTTATTATGGAAAATTTTAAACATACATAAAAGTAGAGAAAGTAATAAATTGAACTTCCATGTACTCATCTTCACTTCAGCAATTAACTTGTGGCCTCCAATCTTATTTCATTTATACATATGCCTTCTCCAATATTATTTTGAAGTCAACCTAGACATTATATCATTTCATTCATAAATAGGAAAGCATTTTTAAAAACTAAAGTTCTAGATAAATAAGAATTATAGAATGAAGAGAAAAATCGTATTATAGAAAAGAAATACATTGAATTAACAGTAATTAACAAAGTGTTCTAGAAAGGAGATAAGCTAATATATGGTTGGGAAATACATAGGGTTAATTGAGCAAGATATCTTGAGATTAGGGAGCTTTGAATTTTTATTTTAAAAAGAGAATGAGTATTGAACCAGAAAAAGGAGACCATTCCATAGCAGATCACAGAAGGGCCTCATAGCTAGAAGAAAAGTGATGTGCTGGGGGAAAAAAGGATGACAAAGAGATAAAGGTTGGCCACACAAGAGTTTCAAATGACCTAGTTTGAAGCTTTGATTGAGAGTAGTATTGGGGAGGGACAAGTGTGTGTGTTGTGAGTGAACATGGAGTAGGAAGCTGTGGTAAGATTCAAACTGGGGTAACATCACACTCTGTCCTCTACTTTAATGAGGCAGGATTGCAGATGTTATGGGCTGATGCCAAAAAGGCTAGAAGAATAAAGACAAATATGTGGAAGCACAATATAAAGTTTCATCAACTTTCATACCGGGAGATGGAGCATTTGAGACAGGTATGGGCTGGGGTCAGATATCCAGAAGTTCATGGTGAGGTGATTAAAGTTAACCAAGATCTCAAGTTGTTTTCTCTCCTATCTTGTTCACCACTGATTAGGCTTTTGCCCTTTACCGCGAGATCAAAGTACTGAACTGAGAGCATCAGATTATTTTTCAGAATTGAGTTCTTTCAGAGTTGTAGCTCTCCAAAGCAGAGCTCAGTAGAGTTTCTGGCACACACACTTTCTGAATAAAAGTTGAAAACGCTCAAATCCAATTCATTTTTGAACATATGAAAATCTGCAAGGATCCAAAAGGCAGTAGGAAAGCAGTATTTGGTGGTGACTTGTTGGGTACTTTTGAAACAGAGTACCGATCTAGGATCCATTCTGCAGATCAGGAAGAATTCAGAGGGATTTGGTATAATGTCAGGCCCTGTACTAGACGTTATTTGGAATATAAAATTGAAAAATCAGGGCTTCTGTCCTCCAGGAACTTACCAAATAGAGGTAGATAGAAATAACCTTGATCCTTTACTGGCCTTTAATAGACGTTCACTACACAGTGGGGTGGAGGGATTGTCCATTGTATTAAGAACTTACTTGGGTTAAAACTCCATCTGTGTTTGTTTCTGCTTAGTTCCGTCGAGACGTCACCAAGTGTCTTTTCCTAGGTATTATTTCCATTCCACCCTTTGCCAACTACCTGGTCTTCTTGCTAATGTGAGTATAGACTTTTGTCTATATACCAGCATATTGGAGATATATAGATTTTTAAAAATTAATATTTTAAGAACTTTCCATTTCAGAAGCTAGGTAGATGTTATCAAACTTCATGTTCCAATCTTTTCATTGGCCCAAGGTTCATAAAAGCCACTCAGTAACACCTAGGTTACTGGGATAGCTGTAAGTATAGGTGACTTAAACTCTCCCTGTCTGGTGTTTTAGCAGAGATGGCTGGAAGACTGGAACTGCCAACCAGTGTGGCCTTAATGTGGTGGCCTCGGGTAATGGGACTTCTCAAATGGCAGCTCAGGGCTCCAAGAGTGAGTGTGACCTTAGAGGTCACAAAGACTCACCTCTCTCGTATTGGTTAAGTCAGTCACCCAGATTTTAAAAAGGGTCATAGATCTCACTTCTCAATAAGAGGAGTGCCAGAGAATTTGTAGCCTTGTTTTACCACCATACATGAATTAAAAGCAAATTTACCTTTTCCATTTTGTGTACTCATAAGGACTGTACTACTGTTTGAGGTTGTCAACATCACATACGGTATCCAGCTCTGTCCAAAATATGTTCTTTATATGCTTTAGTTCAAAAGGAGTCATTTTATCTGATTGCTACATGCGAGGCTCCTCCTAGTTTCCTCCTACTGCTTCCTAGCACATAATCTCAGTAATGTTGCTTAAATTGTGCTTCAGTGTATCTTCAAACATTGGTCTGATACTCATTTGCAAAAAAAGAACAGTGAGGTAGGGAAACAGTGTCTCATCTCTTCCTAGTATTATGTTTGCCAAGTGCTTTCTTTGCTCACTTTGAAAGATGCCAGTTTCAGCAAGTGACTCTGTGATTCCTTTTCCTTTCAGGTACCTGTTTCCTAGACAACTACTGATCAAACATTTCTGGACTGCCAAGCAACAGATTGATTTCTTAGATATCTATCATGCTCTCCGGAAGCAGTCCCACCCAGAAATTCTTTGTTATTTAGAAAAAATTATCCCTCTCATTTCTGATGCAGGACTCCGGTGGCATGTGACAGAGTTGTGCACCAAGGTATTCCTCCAGTTAACCCTTCCTACAAACTAGGAATCTTGTTAGATCCAGTTTGCACTAAAACTAGGTGAAAGGGCTAGTCAAGACATTGATAACATCTACCAATCTCTTACCTTTCTCAGCTACAGCGTGGTACCCATCCAGCAATACATGACATCCTGGCTCTGAGAGAGTGTTTCTCTAATCATCCTCTGAGTATGAACCAACTCCACGCTTTGCAACTGGTGAGAGCAGTTTGAAGTTTTTTCTTTTCCACAGCCTCACCTTCCTTCCATTCCGGGCTTTGCTTGTAGTAATACAATGTTGACTTTCTTCTATATTGTTGTGTCACAGAAAGCCTTGAGTCGAGCCATGCTTCTCACACCTTATCTGCCTTCTTTCTTGTTGAGACACCGTTTAAAGGCTCATACCACTGTGATTCACCAACTGGACAAGGCTTTGGCAAAGTTGGGGATTGGCCAGCTGACTGCTCAGGAAGTGAGATCGGTAAGAGCTGGATTGCAATATCAGCCTCACTCTTTGGTGGGCTCTTGAGTTCATGGGGCTAGAGAGCCCCTAGTCTTGTTTATAGCAAAACTCAAGCTTTTTATTCTCCTACCTCGTTTCTAGATCTTTTTTTCACAGTGAACTTAACTAGTGGGAAGGAACTTCCCACAGTAATTTTGGTTTGTTTCTTCTGGCCCTTCAGAAATCAAGGACAATACACTTTAGATCTACTGTTTTAGATTATATAGGCATCTTTGCTTGTCATCTTGTTCGTCATAGTTCAGATTGCCATAGTGAAAGGTTTCTTGGGATGAGGTTGTAACTTATTTAAAGGAGATTTTGGATTATTTGTGGTGTGGGTTTACACTTCCTTGGCATACTGGCTCTATGATTATTAAGGATCATTTTCCTTCCGAGTGTTACAGGCTTGTTATCTTCGTGGTCTGAATTCTACCCATATTGCTGAAGAGAGGTGTCGAACTTGGCTCGGAGAATGGCTACAGATTTCCTGCAGTCTGAAAGGTAAGACAAATCCCTATGGTCATGCCACTAAAATACAAGTCATTTTTGTATTTTATTCTAAGATTATTTTGGAGTTAATTATTGAATACTGTGAGACCCTTGTCTAACATATATGTCTAATTGAAAGGGCACAAACTCATTTGCCTAAAGGGGCTAAGCAGGTAATGATACAAGACAAGATGAAATAGTGGGGATTGTGGGAGCATGAGGAGTGCATGCTTGTCTGAAGCAGTTTCTCAACCTTGGCACTACTGATGCTTTGTTTTAAGGGCCTGTCCTCTGCCTTATAAGATGTTTAACGATATCCCTGGCCTCTACCCACTAGATGTCAGTGGTACCCTTTCTCCCCAGTGCTGACAACCAAAAATGTTTCCAGACGTTGCCAGATGTCTGGTTTGATGGGGAGAACAGAAATGTCCCAGTTAAGAAGCTTTGGTCTAAAGGCATTCAGATTCAAAACAAAAACATTCAGTTGACTAAAAATAGTATCTAAGGGTACGTATTAGGCCTGTGGGTCTCCTGTTTGGAACCTTTAGCTAGACCTTGATGTTTCCTAAACTGTGACTATCAGGGTATGCCTACTAATGTCCTTGGAGCTGAGAAATGTCCCCAGACGACCAGCTTCTACCAGAAGAATCTAGAAGGGTGACATTGGTGTTTAGTACCATTACTGTCTCTGAATTTTCTCCTGCTATCACAGGAGAGTCAAGAAATGAGGATGAGTAGATAGGACTGTGTGGTGGAAGGAAAGGACATTATACATGCAAAGACTGGAATGAAGCAGGTGAACTTGAGAACAATAGCCTCTTAATGTCACGCCTTCCCGAAGGTGGCTTCCCACCTCTAGTTTCAAGCCCTGGGCACCAGGATAGTTAGAAGGCAAACTGTTCCTTGGCCAAAGCACTAACATTGATGGTGTTTTCAGAAGCTGAGCTGTCCCTCTTGCTACACAACGTGTTCCTGCTTTCCACCAACTACATTGGGACAAGGCGCTGAGTGCACATGGAGCAGATGGCATTGTCCTGCAGTCACACAATACAGCAGCATCGGACCAAACGGCACTTGTCAGTAATCTGTGTGCAGTTAGATGTGTGTAAGGCAGAGGAGGGGGTGCCACAGGCTTTATAGTGTGGTACCCATGTGGGAGCTGGAACTAAAACAAACCCTCACCAGAGATGGCCCATGTGTGGTGTCATCCCAACTTCCTTGGAATTAGCTGTAGCTGGCAGCAGCCCCTGTACAAGGCTTTGACTGTGATATGTTAAGTTCGGATCCTAGGAAGTGAGCTCTTGCCCCCGGTGGAAATCCTCATCGTTTGGCCCAGGACTTACCACTGCCATATTCTTTTTCAGCTATGATTTTGTTAAAAGCAGTTTCCGGCTGCTGAGGTGAACAGTACTACTTAAACTGGAGCATTTACATGCATGTACTTCAGTGTTCTCCTCAACCCTTTGAGAGGACCAAAAATAGTGATTTTTCTTGTCCCCTTCACTGGGCTGGCTAACTACTCCCTTTCCTTTTCAAATCCTTTGTCTTTTTTTTTTTTTTTTCGGTGAATGACTTACGAGGACGTTCTAATGGAAAAGATAAAAGGAACTACAAGTGATTCTTGACCCCTGCCCCAGTGTTTACAGCCTTCACACCCTGGTCTTAATTTCTGGGCTGTACTACAACCCTGTGGGTCTTAAACTCTTTGCTACCTCCACTGTGTTGCAGCCATCTAACTGTAACTGACAATGGCTGCCTTCTTTAGGCCATGGAGCAAACCTGTAAGGCACTAATTACTACTCAACCCAGGAGAGGAGAGGTCTGCATCCAGATAGTAAGGTGGGTTTAGCTTTTGTCTGTGTATGTACATCAGTGACCTGTAGTTAACTTATTGTAAATGCATGAAGCACTGTTTTTAAACCCAAGTAAAAACTGCCTGAAATCAGCCGCTGGAAATTACTTATGTGTACTCTAATTATTTTGCTAAGGCTCTGAGACTAACGTAAACTAACTAATGGGGAGGGTAATTGGCTGGAGTAGAACTTTCTGATGGGATGGAAGTTATGAACTGATTTGAAGTTGATCCTCTTGCTCGATTTTAAATGACTAGGAATAAAGCATTTCATTATATATATT